GTACAATGCAATGTTGTCCAGCAATGCACAATGTTGTTCGACTGCCCTGTATTGCCCTGTTTAGCAATGAAACGGAAGCCTCCTGGTGTAGCCGCTTCACATCAAGTGCTTCCCAAAGTCATTGGCCAACCATGACAACTCTGTGTTTAAGAACACCTGGGCAAGCTTTTGCGTCAAACGTTGGGGGTAGGGCTCGGCAATTTTTGTCAGCCAGACACCTTCTTTTGTTTGGCCCATCAATGCAACATGGGGCCTACCACTATATGCACAAATGCCACGCTTCGACGATTTGCAATAATAATGTTGCAAGATTTCCAACTCAACATGCACTCCAAAAAAACCTTGTAGGCTTCTTCCAGCTGGTGCCAAAGGCACAGAAGTGAACGACCACGGAGGAAGTGCCCCTCCGTTTCAACAAGCTCCTTACAGCCGGACAAAGCCATAGCCGCGATCTTTCGGGGTTTTCTAGTGTGAAGGGAATCCTCCAGAACAATGCCAATCTCAAGATGCGACATGTGAAATACATAAGGGCATTCCCAACTCGCACTTTCGTAGCATCAACTTCCCTCAAAAAGTCCAGGCCCAGGGGTTTCTCATCTGAACGCAACCTGGGAGGGCCGCCCGGCCTGTCCCGGGCACGAGAAAAGCTGTTGCAAGGCGTTCCAAGGTGTCCACCTCTTACGACCCCACTAGTTATCCAATGCACTATTCGCATCTGATTTGCTCTCACTGTGAGGTCGTAGTCAGCGCCATAGTCAATGTCCCACAACAGAACTGGCCAACCACAATGTCTGGCAACACTTCGACCCAACCTGCCACAGCCACTGAAGATCTCCAAAAACACGCAAGCCGTGAGCTTCACAAACGAGCTCAACGCCGGCAATGCAGATGCTTTTGAACTTGCTGAACTGCTTGGAGGCTTGCCTTTCTTGTGCTTGCCGACAATGCTCCGAACAACTGTTGCAGCCGGCCGCGCTTCTCGTAGTTTTTGACGGACTTCAAGGTCTGCCACCTTCCGCGGGCTTGAATGGCCGTCAACTCTCGAAGGCCATGCGCTGCCTCGTGTGAGGCTCCTCCGTGCCGGAGCCGATACAGATGGGGCTGCCCCAGCGGGTTCAGTCCCAACTCTTGCCACTGCTCCTGCATGAAGTTGTTCACATCCTCTGCACTGATTGTAAATGCTGGCTCGTCCAGGCTCTTCTTGTCCAACTGCAAGCGCTGTATCAATGCTGGGCCCAAAAACTTCTGGTATTCCAGGTCCAAACTCAGCATCTCGTCCCACTGGAGGGTTTTGGATGGAATCCCCTCTTCCATGGGGTGAAGCACCACTGCAAAATGCTTGAAGGCCTTGGGCTTGCTTTTCACTGGCCTGACTATGTCCCTGTTCCGCAGCAAGAAGGCCTCGTTCGGTCTTAGGTACAGCGCAAAGATCAACAACATCGCCAGGGCCACTTCGAAGAGACCTTGCTGACAAGCCGTGAGGGCCAAAAGACATGTGACCTCGTACGGAATCGGCATACGAGACCTTGGCGGGCACAGCCTTCTCCAACCCTTCATCGACTGCTGGGTCATTGGCAAGGACGCTAAACCTTTCAGGCCTGGCACTTGGTAGATGGCTGCAGCTGTAATATAATTGGCTCTGCTGAGGTCCTCCCCCCTGTAAGTATAGGTGCTCCAAGTAGTCCGTCAAACGGCGGTCTAACAAAGGCAACGGTGTCCTGATCGTAACAGCCTTCCGGGTCCAGCGAACAAACTCCATCCAATGTGCATCGTACCTGTTGCGGGTCACGGTGCTCACTGAGGCTCTTCGCAGGGTGTTGTGAGGCTGTAATGCCTTCGCCGCTTGGCGCCTCTTGGCGCGCCTGTTTTGCTTCTCTGAGGCGCTGGCACCACTCAACTCGATGTCCCATGTCAGCGGTCTCTCTGCTGCGGCCTTTCCACCTGCCTCGACTGCCCCACCAAGCTTTCGTGGCGGCTGGTTCTTCTTCACAGGCGGTGTCTTTCTCTTTTTGTCTTTGTCCCAGGTGACTGGAACCCCCAGCTGCCGGTGGATCATCGGCAAAGTCTCTCACCGGCTCACTAGGTGTGAACTTCCCTCGACTTGGGCCGTCAGCAGCATTCCACTCACTGGGGATCCACCTACACCGAAAGAAAGTGCCAGACCCCAAACACAATGCTGCTGTCTGTTGCAAAACCCTTCTCAACTTGAAGCTATGGGCCCTACCCTTGTCAAAAGCAACTGCGGCTGTCATTGAGTCAGTCAACACAATGTACTTCTTTCCAAAACTGCCGACCGACCGCAAGGCGTGCCTGATTGCAAGCAATGTAGCCCGGGCTTCGTATACTGGCATGGAGTCCGGCCTGAGCCAACGATGGCCGGAAATAAAAAGTGTCCACTTCCGGTTCACCGCAGAGAATCCAGCCGTTCGGAATGTCCTGTCTATACCACCCTCATAGTCAACTTGTCTGGCTTGCAACAACAACTCATCCTCGGCCCGGACAAAATACCTTGGGTTGCTAGCCTGCTCATCTTTGAAACGCCAACGCTCACAGTGCCTACCTAAAGCTTGGGCTTCATCTGCTGAACAGCTGCTAGTGACCACTCCCATTCCCCAGTTGGATGCATCAACCAAATAAAGAGTGCTCTCCCAGGGTTTGGCCATGTCAACAAAGATGAGGGGTGCAATGCCATCCCATAGCCGCAACTCTCGCCTCACACTTTTCCACAGCGGCACCCGTTGCTGGTAATGCCTCTGGATGAAGGTGTACACCTCCCCCCAATGCTGCAAGGCTCTCTTGCCGACATAGTGAGACAAAGGTGATGTGTCCCACAATGCGCTCCAGCTGCTGGCCCGTAGCCGAGCCTCGTCTTATCAGCTCTCGAACGCCCAGCCTCAATCTCCAAAGCCTCTTCAAGGTAGGGGACAAGACCGCATTGCTAGCTATTGACCAGCCCAGAACCGACATGTCTGATTCGTCAAACTCTATCTCATGAACTGTGAGTCCAACCTGCCGTAGTGCCCGCACCGCTTTCCAGAATCGCTGTTCGACCTGTTGTTTGTCAGTGCCAAACACATGCAAGTTGTCAACATACTGTATGTGAAAGAAGTTACCGGAAGGGGCCTTCTCACCATCTCGAAGCCGCTCTGCATCTGTCAGCCCCGCCCCTGTGCAGATCCTCTCACTGATCCTCTGGCACCACCACATTGCATGCGACCACCCCATGGGGATGACAGCCACCGTAGGATGGAGCCATTGATCTGCCTTCACCGCCTCCCCATGCACCTCCGAGATGCCCAAGTCTCCAGCCCTAATCCTCCTCAAACCCAAATAGGGCCTCAGCTGCGAAGGCATCTCCATGGTGTAAAAGGCGTTCTGCAAGTCTGCACTAGCGGTATACAGCTGCTGATTGGGCTCCAGCACTATTCTTGCCATCGCCTCCCCAGTCGCCAGCTTGATCGGCTTGGGGTCTGCAAAATGACAATCGCTTCGCCGGCAGTCCAAAATCATTCGCAGCTTTCCTCCTTTCTAAACCCATCAACAAGTTTCAACGAAATCAACCTTTTGACGAACTCTGCATACCTGTGGGGATCACGAAATTGAGGGTCCTCATAGCATTTCTCCACTCCACTGTCAAGCAGTCCTGCTCGGCCTCTGTTGCGCTCAATGTTTGAGTGTGTGAGAAATCCTCCACCTCTTGTCGCCCGCCGGGGCCCCAAAGATGTGACAGCGGTATAGGATTCATCTCCGCCGTCGGCAATGAGACCAGGTCAGGGTTGAAGGATCCTAAGGGTGATGAGGTCAGCAAGTCCTCATAACCCTCGGCGACTCGAAGCTCCTCAAGGGCCTCTGAGCCCGAAGTGGCAGGCGGCTTGCCTACCCTTCGACACGCATTCTTCACAAATTCCAACACCTGGCACTGTGCGGCATTGGGGACCATGCGTTCTGCCCCCCCAACTGTGCTGTGGATGTTTGCCAGATGCTCCAAACAAAAGGTTCAGTGAGTCAATGCTGTGATTCACCTCCTCCTCAAAATGCCTCCTCTGTCCAATCCTCCTTCGACATTTCCTCGAAAAACGACCAGCAGGGATTTCTGAATTCGGCATAGGTGGCATGGGATAGATGTCTCTCTGGGTATGCCTTTCGTGCAATGGCCCGACTGGTGCCGCCCGACTCCCCGGGCCTAGGGAGCCACGCACCCCTGAGGTCAGGGGTTCTCCGTCCTTCCCTCCACCTTTCTTCCCCCGCCGGGCAGCCTCCCTCTCCTCCCGTGCCTTGCGGAGGTTCTTCGCCAAGCTGGCCTCCTTCTCCGTCTCGGTCTTGACGTGGGTCTGGGCATATCATGAGGGTGGAGTATTGGCGAGTCACACCCCCGAAGGTTGTTTGCTCTTCAAGGCTCAACCGCCCTCCCACCGCCTTGGCCTCGACCTCTTTGGCCTTCTCACTGTATGAGAACTCTATCGTTTGCAAACGCCTGAACTGTACCTCAATGCTCAACAAGTTGTAGGGGTCAACTTGGTCAATCAACAATGCTGTCCTCAATGACATGCTTGTCTGGAAGTGCTCCTGTATCCCCCAACTCGAGGCATCAGCACGGGTGACTTGCCGCAGGCGTTCGTGGTGGCCCTCAAAGCCGAAATTCTCTATGGCCAAATAGTTCACACACCATCTGGCCGTACGCGGACCAGTCAACTGCCACCTCATCGGGACCTCATGACTGCGGGCTGCAACCTCCTTCAAGGTGACCTCGGGCATGTCCATTGTATTCAACTCAAGCGGAAGGACCCTGTGATCACATCGGGCCGGACCTTGCAAAAACCTAAAGTAGTCAGCTCCGTCCACACACTCAATGAACACTGAATTCCCATCCGCAAAAACATGAACTGCTTTTGCACCCTTCGTCAAAGCCACCTGGCCAAATTTGCAACCAAATGAACTTTCTGCAAACAGCCACTTCAATGCACCCGAGGTATAGCCAGCCTTCTCATCAATGCTATCAACAACAACACCCGCGCCAGCAGCGGCCGGGGGTCCAGCTCCCGCAACAGGAGCAGGAGGGACAACCGCAATCCGACGTCTCTCAACCTCGGCAGCTCGACGGGCCTCATCACGCAGGGCAGCAAGATCGTTGGCCCCCCCATGCAGGTAGGGGGTACACTTCTCCAGCCACTATTCCAGCGGGCAAGATGCCCATCGCAGGCCGTAGGCGGATGGTCCGGATGTCGTCATTGAGCAGGCCCAATTCCTCCAGATACACATCGCGATCTGGGGTCACAACAATGTATTGGTCGCCTTCGATATGCTCGGTGACCCATCGTTCGTGCCAGAGACGTGGGCCACCAACATTGTACTCAACCAATGCATACCTATTGGCCAAAGCCATGCCTCCTCAATCTCAATTCAGCCAACTGGCGGGCTGCCAAGTCACGCTTGTTCGACGGGGGGGCTTGCAACCAATGCTGAATCCCCAACCGGAACTTGCTTTGCAACCAACAAACCCACAACAATCAAGGCCAACAAAAGAATGATCAGGCCCAATCCAAGCTTGCTCAACTCTGTAGATTCCCAACTGCCTGAAGCCCAGACCCTCGGTTGGATCTCCGGTTCTTTGGACCAATCCGAGGGGATTCCACTGGGTTCAGGCGAGGGTGCAGGTTGGCCCTCAGGAAGCACTTGAATACCTCGACCAAGGTGGGCCTCCAACTCCAACGCAACCGAGCGGATCTCTTCTCGCAGCTGGTGGTTCTCCCACACCTCAAAAGCCAGTATGGCCACTCCAACACAGTGGCCAATCACCAGCACATGGGCCGCGAGGAAACGGGGCCCACCCATGGGAGCTCTCGCTTGAGAGATTCGATCAACGATATTCGCTATTTCAAACTCGTGCCTCACAAATATATATATATATATATAATCTGGATGGATCTGCCCCTTATAGTGGCATGCCTTTCGGCATCACTGACCCTCTTTCTAAAAACTCTAGCCGACCGGAGCATGTCCACCCTGAGCGCGATCCAAGTCGCCGCGACCGACCCCAGGATCTGCACAGACAAGATCCAGCTGGAGCGGGCAATGGCACCCCAGAACACCTTGACATGTCGAGTGTCAAAGCAAGAGAGGCCGAGGCACGAGGGAGATTTTCCAGGTGGGCACCCAACCCGGCAATGGAGGTGTAAAGACAACTTGCTTGGTTGAGGGGGGCATTTGGGAAATCGGCGTTAGTGCAACCGGATTTCGTTGGTTGAGAGTACTCTATTGTTTGAAAGTTTGTTGGATTGAGGTGAGGAGTGGACTCTGTTCTGAGAAGCTCAGCTAGAAGACAGGGTGATGGAAAGAGAGAATCAGCTAGTGAGAGAAAGGGAGAGAAGATGTTCAAGTAAAAAGTTCTCTTATGAAGCAGCGGGGTTGGGGAACGGAAAGCAAAAACACAAACGACTGTGAGTGTGACTTGGAAAAGAAGACTGCTAGTTGCAAACCGACTGTGAAGACATTGTTTGCACAAAGATCATGCTGTAAAGCCATCAAGATCCTGGTATCGCTTTGCTCCCACACTTTGGGTGTCCCACCACATCTTGCCGAAGGCCACGTCTCTTCGTCTCCCGGCAGAGTTGTAAAGCCCAAGGCCACTGGCAGCTGGCAGCAACCTGAGGGTTGAATTGTAATCCTTTAAAACTATGTGTGTGTGTATATATATATACTGCTATAGCCTACAGGCTGTATCTGATATGTTCACTTATACTGATACTTGCACATGAAGGTGGCCACTCCGCAGGTCTGAAGCACTTGGATTTGGATAGAGGTATCTTCGCCGGGCACACCTTCCCACTCACAGTCCCCTACACCTGGGCCATTGGACCTTCAAAATCAAGTCCACGCTGTCACATCGCCATGCCGACACTCCTAATCCCCGAAAGCCCGAAAAAAAAGAGTACAAGAAGAGAAGCACAAAAAGAAGGAACCGGACCTTCAGACATCGGAGTCCCTGGTCCTCCCTATGACCTCTTGTTACTACTAGTAAGGCACTTGTTTCTAATAGCTTCTTGTTACTAGAAGTAAGGCACTTGTTACTAGTAGCGATGCCAGGAGCCCCTAGTAGCTTCTTGTTACTACTAGTACGTCATTCCCTGAAACATCGAAGGCCCAATCAAAGGATGTTCGGAGGAAGTGCCACCTCTCTCAGACCGGTGGCACCTTCGTAAAGTCCACCAGGTCAGCGCGCGCAGCGCGCAGACCTCGGCTCCACCGGAGTCCGGGGTCACCAGAGGTCCACCGGCGCTCCAAAAGGGCGGAAATTGGTAAGACAACCTGCGTCTTGTTCACATGAAAGCTCCACTGTCCATTGCCTTTCATGTTCAATCTACCTGCTCTACCTACAACCAAGTGTGTAGACCATGGCAGCAATGGCAACTGCAGCTAAAGATTGTTTGGGTCGGCTACTTGGGGCTCTTTTTGCCGTCTTTGGCATCTAATCCAGCAAAGTGTCTGAGATCTTCCAAGGCTGCTTGCCACATTGCAAGCTAAGCCCTCCATTGCTTAGCTTCAGCGCATTTTCTGAACAAAATGGATGAGTGGATTAACACCGCCTTCCACATTGTCCTGGGGGCCAAAAAGGAGGCTGCAAGAGCATGCAGGCCCAAATTGAACCTCCCAGATGCGTATGTATTCCAAACCAGACACCCAAAGCCCAGCATCCACGGTACATCCACGACTCGCGCCCCGGAAAGACGCCCGTGCAGGTGGCCCTGTTTTGGGCGCAGCGATCTGCCGCATACTGCGGGCAGGCGCAGTCTGCCTCACGATGGGCGGCAGTGGTGCTTGTTTTGAGCCCAGCGGCTCGCATTGGTGTTTCTCCCGTCCAGCAAATCGTTTCTGGAATATCACAAGTCACAATTCCAAAGCTGGCAGCTCGCGAAATTTGAAAGCATGCAAACATGCAACATCATAAACCAAATTGCGGAAGCTTCTGTTTCGGTTCCTGGCCAAGACTTTATGATACGTTCTGGATGTTGCTTGTCCGCAAAAAAAAGCTTCAGCATCGCGGGTCTTCAGGGGGAGTTCTGCATAGCAGGAGACGTTCATGCCAAGAGTTGGTTCATCACCGAACTTAGCTTTGAATTGTTTCCCATTCCTGGTGTTCCGCCACTGGCCTGAACGTTCGTAGTGTGCGGGTCCTCAAATGGCCCCAACAGTCGTGAACGCCCTGCTGAATGGCCTTGCCTAAGCGCTCAGCCAATAAGCTGGTGTGAATCTATTTGTCCTTCATGTGAATGCAAATACTGTAAATTTTACGTAAATGGATATGATATAAATGGTCACGCTTAGCAGAAAAGCGGTTGGATGAGCACTATTCGCAGGTACAAGTTCATGCACAATTTATCTCGCGTTGACACGTGCTCCTTAAGGACAAAAAGACCTTATGACATGAACCCTGTCTCTAAACAAATTCTCAGGCAAATGGTCAGCTTGACTTTTTTTCCCACACCTCCAGGCCCAGGCCCTCAGCAGAGGCGCAATAAGTCACAAGATCACCTTGAAGGTGGAGCTCCTGCGTTCGTTTGGGAAAGGCCCCAACACATGTGCACGGGAAAGGCCCCAACCCGGTTTCATCTCTTGACTCCCGATCTTTCGGGGGTCTGCCAGGTTCTGCAAAACCTTGCCTACTGGCTGCCTGTGTGGCTGAAGTTGGTTCCTGGGAAGCTGCGTCTCCTCCAAGCAGGTCAAGAACTTTTGCGCGCCTCCCTCCAGCGCCATAGCACAGTTGTACACTTCCAGGCTTGGCTGCAACTGTTGCACCTCTTTCCGATCGGCTTCTTTCGGCTTGGGATCTTCGAATGCAAGCTTAAAATGTCAGTCTTCAGGCAAAGCGAGCAGAACTGATGTGGTTCCCCAAATCCAGAAGTAGGGATATCGATGCGGTTCAAGAAATTTGGATGCGTGTAGCATCAGAAAAAGTGTTCAGAAGTACCCTGTGTTCATCAAGCTAGTCATGCACAAAAGCCGGCTACTGCCGTCTGGTCATGAGAACACAGCACCCTGCAAGCATGACATGCCCAGGCACTTGACATGCAGCAAGGCAGTGTAGAGCTAGGAACCAAGGAGGCCCAGCAGCAATCGCGGAGCTGTATGTGATCACGTTGGCCTCCGAGCTTTCTTGAAGTCCTTGGGGAGAGCCCTTCTGGGTCTGTGCCATGTTGTAAAGTGCAGAGAATTAGGAGGCAACATGTTTGGTTCCAGCTCTCTCACTTGTGGAAACTGCTCGCTTCTCACACCGCTAAAGGAGAAGAAGCCAGCAACTCAAAAGCAACAGAATCTTGGCCTAATTCCAGAAGCTGTCCATTTTGGAGCTCTTCACCTTTAAGGACCTTGGGCCCCTCTTCAGCACTTCTCAGTTCTTCCCACACAATTGACCACCTACCTCCTTCCTACCCCGACTTCCTACCTCCTTCCTTCAACAGGAGCGGAGAAGTAAATTCTTTGGTCGACTCCGGGCATCCGTGGAGCAGTGTGCAAGTGCTCTGCCAGGCCCGGTGCCTGGCACCACTGCGGATGGCCGCGTTGGAAGGCACCAGGAGCGACCCCTGGACATGAGGTGCCCTGGAACCGAACAGGAACCGAACAGCGGTTTATGTTCTAAGCAAATGGCCCAATGGCTTTCTGGGGGTCACAAAGGGTTGGGTGCAGGACTGGAAGTTCTTCCTTCAGGTCCTTCAGGTATAGTTCACTGCATTCTGGGTGAGTCGTAGTGGTATAGGTTGTAGGGCTTCAACATGCAAAAATAACTGGGAGATAGACGTCGATCCTACTTTGCGCCTTCCAAAAAGGACTTCGCAAAAAGAGATTGTTACAAGTACATGAGTTGCTTTGGGGTATGTCATGTTGCTTTGTTTACAATTGGTTACATGTCTTTGATACATTCTTCTTGCAATGATCCTCTCATGTTCTTCGCACCTCGAGGGAACTCAGCTGCCCCAAGGCCTGCATGGCTTGGTGCCATTGACCACCTGGACGACGTGTTTCTTCGCGCCCAAGGTCGACCCGCCCCGGCAGAGTTGGTTTGGTGTCTCAAGCGGCAATTTTGTTGCCCATCCCTGTGAACAAGGGATAGCACTGCAAGGCAGTCCTCTCGTTCCCCCAGGAGGACTTTGGATGTATCCTATCATGTCCTATCTTAAAAATGCCGTGACATGTCATGGTGTCCTTTCACAGATTCAATCTCAAGATTCACATGGCGCCTTTCTCGCAGGCACTGATGGCTGCACTAAACGTCACGATGGTGGCACGGATCTGACGCATGTGCAGCTCCTCGCGGTTTCGATGCCCGAGATGGGGTCTCTTCTGCCTTCCATTCTCCTACATCTGCTTGTCAAAGGGGCGAGGATTTGATCCTTGCAAATCTGCAGCCCTGGTTGAAGCCTTTGTGTAGCTGGAGGCTCAGGCCGCAAGAACCTTCTGACTTTGGACAAGTTGCCTCAAGGAAAGCCCAAGCCATTTGCCAACGCCCAGCTTTTTCACAGGCACTGATGACGGAATTGCACGTAATGACCTCACCAGTACCAGAAACATGGCAGAGATTGGCAGACTCTATATGATGGGACGGGATGATCTGCTTCGTCTGGCGATAGCCCCGTGAATTTTGCCATCTTGTCACAACATGGATATGCCAGCAAGGCTTGCAAAGATGAGGGACCCCGAACCAAAAAGGTCTTCCTCTAGAGCCTCTAATTACATGTTCTCTGTCTCAGTAGTCATTGTCTTTGTTGAGACATGCCCAAAAGGATTTCCTTCACATCCAAAGCACCGTTTCCTGGACTGCATGTTCCCGAAGAAGCGCTAAGAGCCGCATGGCCCGCTCCCATTGACTGGACTTTTCACAGGCACTCATGGCGGCGCTGAAGCTGATGACATCGGCCTTGTTCCACAGAACAGAATCGACGGCACAACGAAAGTCCTGCTGAACGCGCGTCCTTTTCGCCAAGTTTGCTTTGATCATTGCTCATATGCAAATCCATGGGACAATACCTTGGCATTGTAACATCCCAAGCACGACAACCTCCGTCTTCCGTCGCCTGCAACTGCGAAAGAACCTCTTCCAGCAGGCTGAGCGCAGCGATCCAAGCAGCCCCTGTTTCACAAGCACTGATAGCAGCGCAAGCGGTTACAAGGTTGCCTGGCCGCAGTTTCAAGCCGCAGAAGCGCCGAAGCATGGCGCTTGTGCAAAAGGGCTGTGATGGAAAAGCATTTGGGATAATTGGGTATGGCTCCCAGATATGAGGCCGAAGGGAAGAAGCCATGCAGACTTTTCTATCTGAGACTCTGGAAGAGCTTATCATGGCTGTTCAACGTTTTCATGTCAGTTTGTTGGACCTTGTATTCGGCTCAAGTGGAGATCCTCAAGGAGCTCCAGGGCCATTTCCCATTTCTGGCCCTTCTCATAGGCAGAGAGTGCAGCACCATAGCTGACCACATTCCTGGTGAAGAAACCGGGATCGGAGTTTGAAGAATGGATACAGTACTGTGTCAGAAATCGGTTCTTAAGTTAGAACAGTGTCTGGGTATACGATTCTTGTCCAAATGGCCGGCAAACCTTTTGGCAACGATGTTTTGTTTCTTGATGGTCGTACCTAGTAGCTCTGCCATCCAACGTCCTCTCTAGGTGCCAGCTGCACAAATTCTCGAAGACATCGAGCGCCGCTTCCTTAGTGCAGATTTGACTAGCCCAAATTGACAAAAAAATTGCTTCCCTCTACTGGGAAGTTGCTAACCATTCTAGTCTAGGAGTCTGGGAGGGTACAAAGCAATTTTATCATTTGGGGGGCTTCAATCTTCTGATCATGCTCCGAAAGGCACAATTTGTTTTCACTGTCAGGTTGTTTCGTGGATGAGTGGCGAACAAACAGCCTGGCGCCTGGTGGTGTGGTGCGGTTTAGCTCTGTTGCACTTCCTGTTACATAACAAAGCAACTGCAATTGCATACGATGGAGCTGGGGACGTAAGTATTCATAATTCATCTTGAAAGAGCAATCCCTTTCTGGGTCCATTTTGCCCTAGCACGAGCACAAAGACCCAGCCTTCTTTGTGGACCGAAGGTCGGTTGGCAATCTACCAATGTGCACAGAGTGGAAACAAGACACAGTGCTTTGTACCTAGCAATTGCTTGATGCACTGTTCCAAAGACGCAAATAAACGGCTGCAAATCCAATTTCTGGCAAGCCTCGGGCTTGCACTTCTTACGGTGGCAGTAACAGTATGTGTCTTGCTCCAAAAAACAGGACGGGAAACAAAAGGAATTTGAGCGCCTCGCCATGGAAGACCCACTGGCTGTGGAACTCTCCCATCCACCTGCGACCAAAGCTCCTTTTTTAATGATACGGCGACCACCGAGATCTACACGTTCCGGATGACCACATTCAGCTCCAAAGACTTTCGGGGCATCTGCTCCAGCAGCAACAAGGCCTCTGAGCTGTGTAGAAGGAGTTGGACATGCTGTTGAGTTTTGGAAACTATATATTTGATCGGGGCATCGTTACTAGTGACAAAGGCATCGCTACTAGTAACAGGGACATTGCTACTAGTAACACGGGCATCGCTACTACTGGTAACAAGGACATCGCTACTAGTAGTAACAAGTTGACAAGGGCATTGCTACTACTGGTAACAAGGGCATCGCTACTAGTGGTACAAAGTTGACATGGTCATCGCTACTACTAGTAACAAGGCCATCGCTGCTAGTAACAAGGGCATCGCTACTAGTAACAAGGGCATCGCTACTAGTAG